TAAAAAAGTGCGTATTATAGTAAGTGACCAAATGTTGTTTTTATAGGTATCAAAATTAATTTTGATTTGGCAGCAAAGTGGTGTCTGATGGCCGCCATATCCGGATTTAACACTTTTTTTCAAAAAGGGCATATGCATAACTTAGTTTGAACGATTTATTAATCTGAGCCATCACAGAAACACAGGCGCCAATTATTGACGACATTTTGTCAAGCGCTCTCAACATGCGCTTTCGAATTTCGTGCGACAAGAACAACATGCGCTTTGGTAACATAATTTAGTGTAATAATATAATATGTGACAAAAGACTCTTCACGCAGTTGGAGACCCACAATATGGCAATCACAAGATACACAATCATCAACGTTTCTTTACAAATGCTATATTGTAATCCTCCTTACAACCTTCGACTTAAATTTCTGATATTAGTCATACAATGTCCTAATTTCAACAATATACTCTGAAAAAGAAGGCCCTAAGCGTCGGATTTCACCTAACAGACGCTTGCTTACCTTTTCTCTCTAAACTCCTTACACGCCTAAGGCCTTGTTACGATAAAACGGTGTTTTTTTCTGGTATTTGAAAATGATTTGAAAAAAACAAAAGCAACTCACCTTTAGTCTATCTGGTTTGGTGCTACACGGTTGCACAGCAACTATTTCATTTAACATGCTTCCATTGGATTTCGCACGACCACTCTTTCTCAAAATATATATCTTTCCATCGTCTGAATCTATCCACCACTTAGCCTTGTCTGATCGTTCCCGTAGGGAAGTTTTGGTTTGCTAGTAGAGGTCATGCTAAATAATTCGATTTCGCTTTAGCATTCACTGTTGTTCAGGTGAACAAGATATTCGTTTAACCACGAAAACCGATTGCAAGCTCGTGAAATCTGATACAACGAAACTATATGTGAAACAATCGAGAGCCAATCACAATAGTTTGCCGTAGAAGTGTTAAAGACAGCGGTAAAGTTTGATAGTAATTTGATCCTTAGGCTTCACCCTGAGCGCATCACAAAGGCAGAAGCTAGGACATAACATGTTGTTGTCAAAGAGTCAAAAGGTTATCCTGTAATGGATGAGATAAATACAAGTGATTTGACAGGAGATGACCTTACACCAACAAGTAGTCCTTGTTTGGCACTGAGTGATCGTTTCGCAATACCATCTAGTGATTTGGAAGAACTTCCGACAGAAACAGATAAATCCGACGCGCTCAGTATAACTAGTACTCCTATTAGTAAGGACACTGAATCTGTAAACAGTTTAATCAATTGGTCTTCAAGTGCGACGACAACGTCGAGATTCTCGTCAGAGCTAGGATTCGACCACGATTCCGACAGCGACTTAGGATGTTTTCCTATATCATATTCAAGCAGCGAGGATGAGAGAGATGGTAAGTGACTTCAAGCACTTTATCAATAATGTAGGATAATTTAAGGAATTTAAACTGTTGAACTGTTTTGCCAAATTCAAAATCCCAATTTTCATATGAAAGGGAAGTACTTGGCGCGCACACTGTTTGCAAATTTTTTATTGTGTGCGAAATTATTCAACATGTTGAATATACAGCACTGAAGGCACGCGTGCCGAAAATCACAGAACATGACACCGCATACTGAAGGAGACAGCTTACGGCAATAGCCACGAGTGAAGCTCAACTTGTGTACCCTTGGCTTTCTTTTCTTATTTTTTTTAACTTCAATTTAAATGTTCAAATAAATTTAAGTTATGCGATTTTAAAAAATATTTCTTTAAAATGTAAATGTTGTTTGTAGCTAAATAAAATACTTTTTACCGTAGAATATGATGATAATAACATGGGTCGAGCCACTCTAGCGGATAAGGTAACAGAGCAGCAATCCCTGGAACTCAGAGGTACATTATTCTTTGTGAATTTACCACGACAAAAAGCAAATGTTGTTCAGATTGTCGAAAGAGCACTGTGTGAAGGAGGTGCTACTCTTAGCTACTTTTTAAACAAGAAAGTCACGCACATTGTAACTGACGATCAAATCAACAATAAGAAATTTGAAAAGCTTCAGCTGTTACAGAAGGTTAACCAAAATACACGCTCAATGGTGATGATCCGGAAAAGTCATGAGCAGTTAGACAATATGCCATTAAACACATTATCCGGATTAGAGCAGGCATCACGCTTAGGAATTAAAATTATTTGCTTGTCAGACTTTTTAAAAGATCGCAATGTTATGAACGTTCTAATGAAAGCTAAGGAAAAAAATAGTTATGTTAAAAAACAACGATATGTTAAGAGATGGATAAGGACTGTTATTTATTGAGTACGTATGGTATAAAAAAATGTTAATAACAAACGTATTTTTCGGAGGTTATTAACTTTGCAATTAAATTTAATCATTAAACCTTGGATGAAGTATATAACTTGAAATTAAAATGAAAGTTACTTTACTTAGCTACCTTATATATAGTTATATAATAAAAACTTTTATAGCGCGTCTTCTACAGATATCCATAAGCGCATACCATAATGCATGCAAGTACATGCTGTTCAAGTTTTGTATTACTGCGATCTTGTGATTTATTTGTTCATTCTATGGGATCAGTTACGCTTGATTCTCTGTATTTCAAAGCAAGGTGCTTGCGAAAAGTTGATCGCCCAACACTTTGCCCTGAAACGGAATTCGCCTTTACTTTAGCCTTAGCACCGCGACATTGTATATTCGTACAGAGAGGAATACGCATGGCTACTAGCTAGCCTTTTATGCATTCTACACGTTATAACGTAATAACGACAAACTTTGTTTAAACAGACAGACTTAACTGCTTGTATATTGCTAAATTTCTTTACATAATATCCTTCAGTGACACGTAACACAACAGAAGAAGTTAGAAAATCTAAGCAAACGAAGCTTTCCATTGATGAAGGTATGGTAACAGACTAATTTAGGAGTATAATTCTTTTCTGTTTTCCATCCCAGTGTAGAATGCATATGCTACAATGCTACAACGGCGACTAATACTAAACCGTATATTCACCCTTTTTTAATTTCAGTACGAACATTTTCTTGTTGTACTGAAAAATGCACTTGGAGTGTTGAATATGCCGTCCTAATCTTAGCAAGGTCATCTTTTAATAACCTGTCTAATAAGGGAAAGAACCAGTGGGTTCTGAATTACATAATCGATCATCAGAATAAAAGGTAAACTATACTACTACTAAATATATTTAGTCCAACTAACAACCTAATTTTAACTCAAAATTATGGGCTAGAGGGTTGTTTAATGGCTATGTGATTTTGGTCGTTCTCGTATATCCCTAAAAATGACAGCAAGAGTGAGCGATCGAGACTTGCACGGACGATTTTCTTGCACGGATAAGAGGATTTGGAAAAACAAAATATGTAAAATATGTAACTTATTTCGACATCACACAACAATAGTGTTTAACAACAAGGAATATATATGACTGATTATAAATGTGGTAATTCCAGCTATATGCCAAATTAAGATCTAGGCAAGAACGAAATTCATCACAAAAGCTAGAAAGAGAGTGCCAAAATTTGTAAAATTCCACTTCTATAAATTAAATTACAGATTAATGTAATTTATTTTAATATATTTAGTCTATTAGGGCGTAACTGCTATTCATTTGGTAGGATTTGTTGTTTATCTATTATGCAAAAAGTACATGCATTCAAATTTATATTTTTTTTCAGTGACAAGAATATACTTTTCATGGTTTATGGAAATGTGGTTTGCAAAAAAGCGTGGTTAGCAATATACTCTATAAGTGAGAAAAATTCAGCAGATTGGTCCAGCATCATGTTAATGGTAATTTAACAATAGCAAGCCAAGAAAAGAAAAAAAGAAAGACAAAAACTTATATAGCGAAAGCCTGGATGAAAACATCATTTTCCAAGATGGGGGATAAAATGCCTGATAGCATAAGAATCCATTTGCCATGCTACCTCAATTACAGGATACTGTACAATTATATGGTGGAAGATCTAAAAGCAATGGGGGATGATCCAATTTGTTATTCCCAATTTTGCAAACTGTTGGAGACAGATTTCAAGGAAGTCACTATTCCTAAGGTGAGCTAAAAATTTTCATCTTTTAACTAATTACTTCAATTTATTTTTTCCAAAGTGATTGATTGTTGTTTTTTGTAGGTTACAAGGCTAACAAAGTGTGACATATGTGTCATTCTAAAAGAGGAGAAGCAAAAGACCTTGGATAAAACAGAGAGAAATTACTATGATGTTCTTTACAACCAACATAATCAGCTTCAAAGGTAATTAAAACAGATTAGAGTGACTAGAACCACTTACTATAATTTTAAACAAAAATTGATTGATTATTGCAACTGCTGCTAGCTGCCATACCTCTCGACAGTGTGTTAGTACAGTAATTTATGTTTACCTCATATCACCCTTATAGGGAAGAGCGTGAGAAGTATTATAAACACCGTGCCAAAGCTAAATCAGCTCCTAAAAAATATGCATGCATTATAATTGATGGAATGGATCAGATGAAACGAATGATCCTACAACTCCTTCATCAAATGAAAGCATATTCAAGTGCATGGAAGTTGAAAACACATCTTACTGGAGTATTGAATCATGGGCACGAAGCAATTGGTTATTTTGATTTACACCAATGGGCACATGATAGCAACTTAACAATCAATGTTTTGCTACGAGTTCTGCTAAGAATGGATAAAATACCAGACCGGCTTTACCTTCAGATGGATAATTGTTGGCGAGAAAACAAAAATCAGTATGTTATAACTTTCCTGGGGGTCTTAGTTAAATTGGAGATATTCAAAAAGGTATTTAAAAATACATATACATGTATATATATCATAGCATTAGAATACTCTGCAGCAATAAACCTTAATATAACTGTGATACATTAATTATTCTTAGGTGAAAGTGAACTTTCTAATGAAAGGACACACCCATGAAGATTGTGATCAGCTGTTCAGCAGATTTGGAGTCAAACTCTCAACCAATGAGTTGTTACAGTTAAAGGTAATAAAGTTAATTTCTTCACAATGGATCTTACTAAGCTTAATAATTTTAAAAAATTATATTTATAGATTTAACACGAATATTTGAGGAGTCATACACACCACACCCAGTTGCTGAACTTTTAGAAACTATGTACAATGTACGAGATTGGCTGGCACCAGTTAATATGTCACTGCACAACATAAGCAACCCACATATATTTGTGATTACAAAGAATGGAACTGGCGATGTCGTTCTCAGATACAAGAATTGGAGTAGGGATACGAACTGGTTACCCAGTGATAATGCTGAAAAAGGGATCACAATTATCAAACATGTAAGAATATCAAAACTTACAGTTCTTTAGTTTCCTTCATCCATGAAATAAATGAGGCAGTAAATATAAATTGTCATTGCTTGACTTCAGTTCATCTATTAACGAACTGTTGTTTTTTATTAGAGGGTAGTTAGAGTGTAGTTAGAAGGTAACCGTGGCCTATATATCCAAATTTCAGCTTTGACTTCACATACATTTGTTATTATAGTGTTCGGAAATTCCAAACGAAGCTCCCGATTTCGCAACGTCCTCCGCGGATAACGTCGATATGGAGCGCTTGCGAAGGGACATTCCCAAATTTCTGGACAATTCTCGTGTGATTAAAGAGGAACACAAAGACTGGTGGGGCAATTTTTTCGAACAAGTTGACGTAGTTTACTGCAACATGGCAAAGGAGAAGCCAGTTACTTGGTTATTGGATGAATTACGGCTGTTGAAATCTGGCCATACTACAGGAACCTCCTCGACCGAGAATGAAAAAGAAAGTAGAGATACTCCAGTTGATCCCAGTGTCGTTTCGGAAGAGGTGGTAAAGTTGGTTAACGGTCAACTCGAAGATATCCCAGAGGTAAATAACGAAGATCTTTACAGTTGCAGCCTCGCACCTTTTTTGGAAAACATAAATATTGCATTCAGGTGCTATATACAGATCAATAGTAGAAACATCGTTTGCCATTGATCTCTTTATAGAGGCTGAACTACTGAATTCTGATTTGCACAAGTTTGATGTTTTCCAAATAAATATTTTAAAAAGTGTACAATTGTACAAACTACAAACCTCAGCAAGGTTCGAATTCTTTTACTCCATTTTACTCAAAACATTAGCCATCACATAATGATTCAACGAATAATTTTACGCTAGGTTTATACCGGTGCATATCGAAAACCAAGTGGTGCGACAGTGTCGAACATTTGGGACCACATTAAAGTTGAAGATTTTGTTGCTGTGTCCTTGGAAGGATACAACAATGTCCCGTCATTGGGAAAGTTACGGGTATTAGCGAAATGCACGTTTCCATCCACTACTGGAAAGGCAGCTGGAATAAGAAATGGACTCCTTGATTAACGAACACAAAGGAGCCTTGGGCAGATGTTCTACCAAAAGATTGTGTATATTTAGGAGCCTTTCATCTTGACGAAGTGTCAAACTTCAAAGTGCGACAAAACGACAGATGAGGGACTTTTTAAAGCAAGCAAAGTAATGAAACTGACTGAAATATTTATAATAATTGTAAGTATTAAATATTATTATTTTTTTATTACTATTAGAATATTTAATACTAAATAATATTATTTAATATTAGATATCAATATTATTTCAAATTTATGCTGAAATAATAAAAATATATTGTTGAGGGCATTATTGTAAAAAGATGTGAACATTTGGTAAAGATAATTATTTATGTCCTAATTATAGCTAAAACAAATTAGTTTAATTTACATTTCAGTACTGCTTGGTTGTCGACATGTCGAAGATCACTAGCTTGGTTCTCGACATGTCGAAGACCACTAGCTTGGTTGTCGACATGTCGAAGATCACTAGCTTAGTTCTCGACATGTCGAAGATCACTAGCTTAGTTCTCGACATGTCGAAGACCACTTGCTTGGTTCTCCACATGTCGAAGATCACTAGCTTGGTTCTCGACATGTCGAAGACCACTTGCTTGGTTCTCAACATGTCAAAGACCACTAACTTGGTTCTCTACATCTCAAAGAACGATAGCTTGGTTCTCCACATGTCGAGGACCTGTAGCTTGATTTTCAACATGTAGAAGACAACTAGGTTTGTTCTCGACATGTCGAAGACCATTAGATTGGTTCTCGTTTAGCTTAGTACCATACTAATAACTAGATTCAGTAATTAAATAACCATTTATATACATTTTGTATATCAGTTCATAATCCACTGTAGATATTAAAATTGTGTCTTTTTGAATAAAAAAATACACCGTAATAGAACTATGGTTTCAATGATGGGGGTCCCATGTTTTGGTAATTTTTGTCAACAACTCAATTTTTCTAAATTAATGGCACAAAATAAGATAGTTTTAGCATGAAAAAACTGCAATTTTTAACTTTCTGGACAAATATGATAAAAATCGTAGGAAAAAGCCCAACTTTTAGCTAAATAGAATATCCCAACCCATCGTAGAACGTGTTATGTAAAATTGCTAAACCTTTTTGTACAGGACAAAACTCTATATGTAGTTGATGCCTGCGGAGGTGCAGGATCATGTGCCTTAGCTTGCCAAGAACTTGGTGTAAAATGCCTAGTTCTTGACAGGTCTGCTATTAAAGTGAGATTAATCCAGCAGAGGGCTAAATAAATCAGGTAAACCCAGCAAATACAGTATGTACCTGACAGTAGTGATCTTAATATGTTGTTTTTATTGAAAGTGTATATGGTAGAGTTGCTGTTCATTGCTGTACCAGCTTCTATGTTAAGCTCAAGAATGTATTTTATTAATGTAATTTATTTAATTAATTAATTATATGATTAATTGAACAATTTCCTAACAGTTAATATTGTATTGTTATATTGTAATTATTATATTGTATTATTATATTATATTGTATATTTTCTCTAAATCAGGCAAGGCTTCGAGATCTCGAAACCAGGCAAAGGCTTCGAGATCTCGAAACCAGGCAAAGGCTTCGAGATCTCAAAACCAGACAAGGCTTCGAGATCTCAAAACCAGGCAAAGGCTTCAAGATCTCGAAACCAGGCAAAGGCTTCGAGATCTCGAAACCAGGCAAGGCTTTGCTTTGTGATATTGGACATGCTGTAAATTTTTTTTTCTTGCTGTATTTGGCTTTAATGTGGCATTTTGTTAAGAAATGCACTAAACAGAATATCACACTTTACTCTGGAACGTGTTGTAGATGATAAGTATTTTTTTTGCGAAAAAGCATTCTCTACCGTCCTGGTAGAATTGCTGACTTTTTCGAATGGTTGTTGTTGGGAATTATCTCCAGATAGAACTAGAACAGGTCTAAATATCAATCTTCGTAGCAGAGACAAAATGTGATGGAAAATATTGGTCGAAATCATCGAAATCTCATGAATGACAACTAAGTCATATTGTGACAATATACGTATCACAATGTCCCTGTGCTTTGAAGAGTTTTTTCAGACTTTGTTCAATGCTCCATAAATCTGAAAAGTGATGTACACCAGCTGCAAACCATCTTAATTGGTCTGGTATAGCCTCAGCGTGAGCTGGCATGAGCTGTTCAAAAGTCTGGTGAGGGATGTGCAAAAAAATATACTGAAAGAAGTATTCATTATTGAATATTGGAGAGAAGTTTAGCACCAAAAAGTGTATGTCAAGATTCGTATTTCTTTGGGGGGTTTGCGCTTGTATCCATTGAACAAAGCAATTGCAGAATAGAGTTGTTATCATATTGTTGTTCTCGTCTCCAGTATTGGTTGGCGAGTTTGTCATCATTTACCGTATTACTAGTGGGAACTGCATAGCGTTTAGTTCTGCTTGATGTCCATGCAACCTTTTTAGAAAAGAGAGTGAACCACATTTCTGGTTCAGCTGGTTCATTTCTCAAAAGATGTATAATTGCTGCAAGTTATCTGCTCTCTGCGAATCATGAGACTTTGTTACATAAGACGAAACATAGTGTAAGAGCATTGCTACGCCGTCCGTTGTTTGGTAATCCATCCTACACTGTAGTGCTGGTAGGATAGTAGCAATGTATGCACGGATTATCAAGGCAAATTCTTGCGCTGGGTGTTTCAAATGATGAATATGTCTGCCATTTTTAACTTCAAAGTATGACTCTGTAGTCTGCAAATTTAGGCATGGTGAACGTTTATCGGATGGCTGCAGTTTATGAACTAGGTATGCAAGGTCTGGATGATTACGGTGGATATCTGCACACATCATATGATGCTGGGTTTTGGTTATGTCTTTTAACCAAACAAGCATATGTAGATGCAGTGTGCCACGTTGTTGAAATTCAAATCTGTAGAAGTATGTTTTTACATTCTTCCCCTTGGCAAGACGATTGTAATTGAAAATGTGGTTTTCCCAACGTGAATCAAAAGAGCCACACAAATAACCTTGAACAAGTTGTTCTAGTACAAGAGCAACATGATATGACTCATAGGCTGCCAATTCAGTTGGCCCTTTTCTGGTAATCCACGTATTTTGCTAATCCACTTTGGAAATGCAAATGTCCACTCAAAGGGACTTATGGTTATGAATACATCTGGGAGACCAAACTGGTCAACGGCATCGACTAAATATCGATGTTGCCATTGCCAGTATGTGGCAGAAAAAGTTTGGTATCTAATCCACGTGCAGGCGAGCATTTTGATATAATGCAACTTTTTCCTTCAAATTTCCATAATGTATCACAAGAAAAGAGGGTCGCCTTGAGAGATAATAATTTGTTTGTGCATGTGTAACAGTTCTTGCCATTTTAAATCTTTTTTTAGGAATATTCTAATTCCACTTCTGAGTACTGAAAATATCCGTTGTTCACTTCGATATAATTGTTATTACACATTATATATGTATGCAAAGAGTTTGAACAAATAAAGCTATATAGAGTTTTGTCTTTACTATCGATGTTACAACATGTAAGAGGTGAGATGACTATTTATATTGAACGCGGTTTCTATACCACCAAACGTCAAAGGTGAAATGATAATATTGACCCACAGTTGAAATAGAGTATTTCAATTAATGGTGCTTTAGTAAAACAGTAGAAATTGCAACTAATTATAAGTAAATGTTGAGATGAAGGAGTTGAATAACTTTGCATGTAAATATTGTAATGTCCCCTTCGCTGATATGTAATAACTCACACAAATCTTTAGCTTTTCTACAATCGCTTTAATACAAAATACACAAACGATACAAAACGAAAGAACAACTTCAAACGACAGCCTCGTGATAAGTTGTCACGTGACTTTAATCTAATACAAATAAATCTAATCAAGTATCCCGATTCTACATCCCTTCCTTTCCAGTCAATTTAGTGTTCGAACAACCAATCATAACTTCAACTACACGAACTATCGTGTTCATACTGTTTCGTAATATATTTGTATCACTTTGGTTTGTCCATGATAAAATCATTGAATCGCTCGGGTAATCTAATCTCCCGCTTAAGTCTATTGGTGATAACCGTTTCGCTATCCGGTTGCGGCTGTTGTTGGGACTCGCTTTCCAAAGATCGTGTTAATGACCCTGTCACTCTCTGTGGACGATGAAACACACCTCTAATTTTATTTCTTGTTGGAGGTCTATTATTAATTATCATATCCTGAATTTGAGTAACAACGCAACCATCAATACCACCAATCATCATTATAATAATGATAAAAGAAGCACACACAACAACAACATATATTTATAAGATAGAATAAACACATGCACTTTACAGAATAAACACGTGCTAAATAAAAAGCACGTGCTGAAATGAAAAAACACGTGCTTTATAAGAGAAAAAACAAACACATACCGATAATTATGAGTGACGTCACAAGAGAATTAAGATTTAAAATAACCCCCGTTAATCCTAATCCTAATCCTAATCCACAACATTATTACGTAATTAGTTATGACGTAATATTAGATATAAGCACGTGTTATTATGACGTCACATTAGAGATCCCACTATAAAGTTCACGCGAGATATTATGACGTCACATTGCTGACTCAGCAATCCCACTATAAAAAATCCCACTATACGGCCAGGACAATACTACTCCAAATTCACGGCTATAATGTTAGACGAACTTCCATCCTCGTCGCCAATGTAATGTCCCCTTCGCTGATATGTAATAACTCACACAAATCTTTAGCTTTTCTACAATCGCTTTAATACAAAATACACAAACGATACAAACGAAAGAACAACTTCAAACGACAGCCTCGTGATAAGTTGTCACGTGACTTTAATCTAATACAAATAAATCTAATCAAGTATCCCGATTCTACATCCCTTCCTTTCCAGTCAATTTAGTGTTCGAACAACCAATCATAACTTCAACTACACGAACTATCGTGTTCATACTGTTTCGTAATATATTTGTATCACTTT